TCCCCATGTGAATGTGTGGCGGTTAGGGGGTTGCTGGTGAGTGGGGAACTGTGTCGTGTCCCTGTGTCCCAGGGGACAGTTGGGTGTCGCTGTGTGCGTGTGATTAGCGCAGAGGGACTCCTCCTGGGGATGGGTTTACACTGTCCCTCAGCCCCCCCGCCCCGCTCCTTTTTTCCTGTAACCGGGGTTGCTGAGTGAGGGACGGATGTTTCCTCTACCATGCCAAAACTCTGTCCCCTCATCTCACCCCCCACACGCTGTCCCCTCCACTTCCCTCCGACTCGGGGTACCCCGTCCGCGAGGCCCCAGGTGGTCCTGGCTTGAGGACCGGGCGCGAGGTGGCGCCGGGACCCGATCACACGGTGGCAGCGCCTTCTCCCGCCAGGGGCTGCGCGTGCGCGGGGGCCTGCCCCGGAGGAAGGCGGGGCGGTGGGGGTCCCCCCACACCGCGGCGGAGGAGGTCCCGAGGGATGGCCGGTTACAGAAGCGCGCGGGCCAGGTCGGGCTCAGGAGGGTGGCCAAGGAAACCCCCTCACCCTCTCTCTGCTGGGAGCCACCCCCCCCCCAGTCCTGCCTCCCTGCACTTGCCCCCTACGAGGGGCGGGCACAAAGTGTTGTTTTCTCCCCTGCAGGGGAATCCCCGCTGCACCCCCACCCCCACACCAGGGCACTTTATATAATTTTCTAAATATAAAAGCACCAAGGCCAGGACGGCGTCTCTGCTTTTTTCTTTGAACGTGCATCCCATTTTGGGGGGCTGTTTGGGAAAGGGAAAAAGGCGTCCTACATGGACACAGGGATACCTTGGCACCCAACCCTCAGAGTCCCATAGTTTGGTAAACTTCCTACCCCCTGCCAGTCCTCACCCTCCCCTGCGCTCGCCCCCAGCGCTGAAACACAACACTCCCACCACACTCCTGTGGAGTGGGACACCTGGGCTGCCCTCCCCAGTGCAAGCCTCTCTCCTCGTCCCCCACCCAGTGCAGGGGCACACATCGGCGCAGGAACATTCACACCCATGACACAGGTGTACATAACGCCACGCACACAGAGGTGCCCACACAGCCACACGTGGACAGGCACCTGCACTTGTGAGAGTGGAGACGAGCCACCCCACCCACCCCCACCCACCCCCACCTCCAGCCCCACCTGGAGAGCTCTGAGCCCGGCTGGGGGGGGGGGCAGGGGGGGATGTCGATGGGACTGCCAGGGGGGAGGGGCAGGGATGTGGTTATTTCACATATGTGCCCCCAGGCCTGCGTAGGGATACTAGGAGGGGTTCTGCTTGTGGGTGGGGGTGATCGTAGGTGTGTATGGTTGTGCCTGGGTATGAGTGTGTGATTGTGAAGGAGTGTATGTGTGTTGTGGTCATGGCTGTGTGTGCACTTGAGCGGGTCTGTGAGTCCCTGGGTGCCCTTCTGTCGGGATGCTTGAGGCCAGGTGTGGGGGACGTCCGTGGTTGTGGGTGGGCCTGCGTTCAGGTGAATCTTTATGTGTTTGTGTCACTGGTGTGTGACTGTGTGTATTCGTGTGACGTGAGTATCTGTGTGGCATAGTGTAGATGTCTGCGTGTCCCTCTGTGGCACATTGTATGTGCTGCATGTCCCTGCCAGCCCTGTGTCCTGTCCTGCCTTTACTTATCAAGACCAAAGACCTCAGCGTCCCCTTCTAGAACCTGTTTCTCCTCTGTGAAATGGGAACACACAAGGGCTGAGGAGGAGTGACGCTGTCCCAAGTGTGCATTCCCAAGGCCTGGCACGGTGCTGTGTCCTCTGTTCTCTGGGGGGGTGATCACTCTGGAGTTACTAGGTGGACACCTCTGGTCCCTGCCTGAGCTGCTCTGTGAAGGCCACGCACTTTTTAAAAAGTTTGTTTTTAATGAGACAAACCATTCGTGCACATCTAAAGAGTATACCAAAGTATCCCAAGTGAAAACCAACCTGCGTCATCACCCCTACCTGTGTGGGTCCCCACTCCGGGGGATGCTCTGGTTTCATTCAGCTTCGTCTGAACCATTGCACATGTAACAGGTACATAGTCTTATAAAGGATGCTTGCATATTTTGTAAAAACAATCCCCAGTGAGATCTTGAGTCTACTTGCAGCATTTACAGTGAGTGGGGGTGGTCTCACCCAGGGACTCGTCTGCCCCAGGAGACACTGGGCCGTATCTGGGGACATCTGCGGTGGTCAGGACTGGGGGTGCTCCAGCCAGGGATGCTGCTCAGCACCCCTCCCCCACAGTGTTTAGGATGCCCCAAGCCCCAGCCGAGAATGATCCAGAGCACCCTCGGGTGAGAATCCCTGGTTTCCAGCTTGTTTTCCCCGCTGTGTGTCTCTCAGAGACATCTGCCGGTGGGAGCCTCTTGTTCTTTTATGGAGCTGCGTAGTATTCCAGCCTGTGCCCATGCTGGCGTTACTGATCTGGCCCTCCACAAAGGGACACAGTGGCCTGTTCCCAAATTGTCGCCATTACTGGTAGAGTAGTGGTCAACACGCTTGTGCGTCTGGATCAGGGACAGTTAGAGAGAAGGCAGAATGAATGATAAGGAGAGTGCATTTTTAATTTTTTAACCAATGAGGTAAATTGTGCTCCAAAGTGCCCAGAGCTAAATCATGCCCCCCGGTCCCCTTCTGGACCCTTGCACAAGTAGGTCCAAATCCACCGATTGCTTTGTTCGGATAACTGCCCGGTGCAAGGCACTGTTCTGACCTCAGCCCAAATAGTCCCTTGTTCACCCATAATAACCCAGGGGGTGAAAACTACCTTCGCCCTTTTTCACCGAGGGGAGGCTGAGGCACACAGGAGTGTAGCTGCTGCTGGAGGAGACGTAGACCAGGCTGCAAGCCTGAGCTAGAGCGGGCCAGCTGTGGACCTACTGTGTGCGCCGCAGGGCCCCTCCTACCCGAACTAGAATATATAGATTTGTGACAGTCCACTGGTGTTCGGGAATTTGCAGAAGGTTCTACTCTCTGCACTGTGCCCACAGTGGTCACACAGGTGACCTCAGGACTCCCATCTCCAACCCTCCTCCATGCGTCCCAGCACTGTTGCCATTTTACAGATGTGGAGACTGAGGCTCTGAGAAGGGCAGTCTGTGCTCTCCAGACTTCACCTTGGAAGGGAGCTCAGGTGGCAGGCGGGGCGGGGATGAGGGGGCTGAGCTGGGAGAACCCTCTGCAGTCAAGTGTGACTTTTAAATGTCTGTGAATTCGGAATCTTGTGCTCTCTGTGTTCCTGGCCATTTAAAAATAATAAAATATTGCTTTATGTTATGTTGGCATTTGGATTCCTAGACACCTGACTTTCCCCATTCATCCTGGGGTTTTAAATGCACCCCCCCCACGGGGCCGCCTGACAGCCAAGGGGTTTTCAAACATTTGTGAAGTGCTCATGATGTGCTAAGCACTGTTTGTTTGAATAACCGACACCCACATGCAGTGGGGTCAGTGTGGCCCAGGGAATACGTGCTCCGTAGGAGCCCTGCTCCCTCCTAGTCTAGCCCTGGGACCCTGAGCCTGTTCCCTCCCTGTAACACGGGAGAATAATAGGGTTCCTGGCACCTCCCATTACCCAAGTTGGCAGAAGGGTATCATCTGGCATCAGGACACCGGGAGAGACAAATCAAAATCATCAGGCTTTCTAAGAATGTCTCGGTGCACATTTGACCCAAGGTCAAGGCTCTGCTAAGTGTCATTATCCTTATGCCCATGGACCCCATGGGTGGGCACTGTTAGTGCACTTTACAGGGGACAACACCAAGGGGCAGAAGGGACACATCACCCTAGTCTGTGGGGTGGGAATGGGAGCTTCAGCAGTTGAAGCTGGGAGGATTCAGAGGGTGAAAGGGGAAGGGTTGAAGTCATGGTCATCAGGCATGCTGGGGGCACAGACTGGGGGAGGTCAGGCCTGTGCCCAGTTCGTCTAGAGGGAGAACAATGGAGCTTTAGAAAGGTGGGTTCTGGGGCCAGGTGGCCTGGCGCCAAGCCACTCACCGTGCCTCAGCTTCCAGATCCGTGAAATGGGCACACTCCTAGGCTCAGTAGGAATTACTGGACACCCAGAGAAGAGGCTGCAAGGGTTTATCTGGCCAGCCTGAGGTTCTGGACACATCCTCCTGGGATGTTGGGGTGACTAATGGGGGATGCCAAAGCAACCCCCCACACACACCCAGTTCCCCTTTGGTGCTAACTGAAGGGGTGAGAGCAGATTCCTGGAGGCTCTCGGGTTAGTTGGGACCTTTGGGGCTGGTGGGGTGGAGAAGAGTGCACTTGGAGCCAGCCCCTGTGCCAGGGGGGAACTGCAGCCCCCTGTCTGGCTCTCGGGGGAGCAGGGGGAGAGGATGCTGTGGGACACCCCCCCACTCCTGCCCTGCACCCCGGGTTGTACATCTTTAAGGGGAAAGACGCGCGCTGGCGCCGGCCTCTGCACACGTCACTTCTTCATTCTTTCCCTCCCCCCCCCCCCAACTTGGCTCTTTTCTCCAACTTCCCGGCCAGCGCGGGGAGGGGGGGGGGGTCCTAAAAATCCACCACCGGCCCCAAAGTGTCCAACAACAGCCCAGCACCCCCTCCCCACTTGACTCGGGTGGGCGGTCCTCGAGGACCCGTGGCGACCGGGCTCTGCGCGGCCGGTTGGTTCCTGTCCGGTGCCCGGGACCAGGGCGGCTCGTAATTCGTAATAATAGCTATGATGGGGGTTCATGGGGCATGGGGGGGGAGCGGCTTTCCTTCCCCGCTCGCGCTCTTTTTTCCCTCGTTTCTTTGAAAGTTGGATGTTGAGAAGTGGGAGGTTCGGGTGGGAGGGGAGGGAAATTGGGGGGAGGAGGGGGGGAGGCTGCCAGAGGGAGGAGAGACAGAGACACGGAGAGACAGAGACGGAGGAGGAGAGAGGGAGGGGGGACAGGAAAGGAAGAGGGAGAGAGAGCGAGCGCGGGAGGGAGGGAGGAGGGAGACCGAGGGAGGAGGCGGCGAGGAGCGCGCCGGCCGCGGCCGCGGGGGGGGGGTTTGGAAAAATGACTCAGTAAGTTCAGCGCGCCCGCTCCGGCCGGCCCTGCGCCTCCCGCCGCGCCCGGGATGTATTCGTCCCCGCTCTGCCTGACCCAGGTACGCCCCTCGCTCGGCCCGCGCCCCCCGCGCCCCCCGCCGCCGGGCCCCGGAGTCGGGAAGCCAGAGGAGGCGGGACGGGAAAGGCGCGCGTCCCTCCCGCCGCCCCGCCGGGGTGCCCCCGCCGCGGGCCAGGGGCCGGTGGGGGATGGGCTGGGCCGGGGACCCCCCCCCGCCCCGACCCTCCCTCGGGACTCCCGCCCCGCCCTCGGCGCCCCGGCCTCTCCCCCCACGCGGACGCGGGACTCGGGGTGCAGGCTGGCGGGACGCTAGCCCCCACCCAACCCGGGAAGGTCTGGGGGCGCCCTCCCCGCGGAGCCGAAGGCAGGCCTCTGCGTGACCCCCCGCCCGGACCGGGCCTGCCTCTAGGAGGAATCGAAGGGTTCTGGCTGGGTCCCTCGGCACTGTGGAGGAGAGGATCCCTCGGATGTGCTCCCCAGACAGTGACCCCCCCCCCCCCCCCCCCCAGGTTGTGCCCCGCCCCCCCCCCCTCCGGACGCCCTTCCCCCCCCCACTGGGCCCCCTGTGCGTGGGGGGGGGGGGGGCGCGCGCAGTTGGAGGCGCCAGCAGTGGGGGGAGGGGGCGCGCTGACATCCCGGCTCGGTCTCCCCCCCCCCCCCCCCCCCCCCCCACACCGATCTGATATTTTCGCCGCATCGATTCTGGATTGTTGTGCCGCCGCCGCCGCCGGGAGGAGCCGGGAGGCCGGGCGTTCCGGGGTCTGGCCCGGGCACTGCGGCGCTGCGGACGCCCTCGCCAGCCCGGCACCTGCCCCTGCCCCCCTCCCGTAGCCTCTCACCCCTGGCCAGGCTCCCAGACTGTCCGGGGCTGAGCCCTTGTGCAATGGGCAAGGGGATGTGTGAGGAGGGGGCGGCTGCCCCTGTCCCAGGCCGCACACCGGGGACTTCTTTTCTCCTCCAGCTCCCTCTGGGACCCCCCCCCCCCGCTGGTCTACTTCCAGCTCCCCCCATGTCCTCATGTGTCTTTAGGCCAGTGGGGTTGCGGCCTCAGTTTCTCCTGAGGACTAAGGCAGGCTCTGGAGAGAGGGGCAGTGTGGCCTCCAGACTGCAAAGTGCAGCACTCTGGGAGTCCAGCGGGAGCCTGGGTGTCCGGTCTCCCTTCTCTCTCCCTTATGGGGAGCACGTGGATGCCTAGCTTGGGTCCCAGGGGCTGCCAGTCTGTGTGGAGAGGGTCCACTATTCAGGATCTTGGGGTCCCCCTCATTCATGGTAGAATCTTTCTTGCCGCACTGGGGAGTTCCTGGCTCCCGCCAGAAAAGGAGAGGGTGGGTGCGAAGTGAGGGGGGGGGTCTCAGGGCTTGTCCTACCCATGATCCCCTAGTGACCTTGGGGAAGTCCCTGCTCCTGTCCAGGCCTCAGTTTCCCTTTCTGAACAACTTTGGGGACCCCCCCGGAAGTTGTCATTGCTGCCCCACCTCTGCATCCCAGCTGCCCTAAAGCTCCCCGGGTGCAAGGAGGGTTCTAGTGAGGGTTGCAGCGTGACCTTGGGCCTCCCAGTCTCTGGGCTTGCGGGGTGGCCTGGGTGGCTGTGGGCGCCCCCGCCCCCTCTGCCCTTCTTGCGCTTGCCAGCTCCCGAGAGCCACACAGGGGGGCTGAGCCAGGGAGGCTATTCCAGGGGAGGAGGTTGGAAGGCCGCCTTTTGTCACCGAGCCCTGGAATTCCCCCATCAGGACTCCTCGGGAGACAGGCCTTCATCCACGTTGCTGCCGAGAGGAGAGGCGGTGGCAGTGAGAACCCGAGCCCTGGTGTGAGCATGTGTGCTCATGGGGCCTGGCTCGGCCCTCCCCAGGAGCAGGGCAAGGATCAGCCAGGCGGGCTCCTGGTGGACAGTGAACGCTACCTGAGGTTGCTCGGGGCAAGCGACGGGGGTGGACAGGAGGCAGAGAGAGCCCAAGAGCCCCCCTCCCAGGGCTAGGGTGAGGATGGAGTGGCCCAAATGCAGGGGCTCCCCTCCCCTGCTCTGCTCCTGCGTCCCCCCCCCCCAGGAGGGGAGCCCCAGGACCCCCTGGCAGGCTCCCCGAAGCCTGAGGGTGATCCCCCAGAGCTCCTTGCAGACCCAGCCTGGGCTGGGATCCCCGGCTGGGCCCCCCCCCCCCCCCGGGAGGACCCCGACTGCCCGCACAGGACCTGCACTCCTGGCTGGCTGGCTCAGTCTCTCTAAGCACGCCGCCACCCCGCGTCTCTGACCATCTCCATCTCCCTCTCCCGGTCTCTCTGTTTCTCCTCGATCTCTGGGTCTGTCTCTCCCTGTCTCTGTGTGTCTCTCTCCCCCTTTCCATCTCTCCCGTGTGTCTCCCTGTCTCTGGGCCTCCATCTCCCGCCTTTGCCCGACTAATTTTACAACCTGAGCCCATCCTAAAATAGCTCCCTTTTAGCTGATCCGACCCGGATCCTTGTCGGTGCCAGCGCCCCGGTGCCCCCGGCCCTGCCCGCCCCCGGGGGGGGGGGTGGTGGCGGCGGCGGCCCTGGAGGATTCTGGGAGCCCCGTCCCTGTTTCAGTGGTGACTCAAGCGCTTTTTCACTTTTACTCTTAAGAGGAACTGTGTGGAACAGCCGTTACTTCCATAAATCCTGGCGGCGGGAAGGCTGGCCTCCCCGCTCTGGCCCTGCTCCGGGCCTCCCTCCCTGCCTCCCTCCACCCGCCACACCGCCACGTTAGTTATTCCGGGTTTGGGGCCAAATCCCTCTTGGCTGCAGTGCCGAGGATTCCCCGGGGCCGAGGCTGCGGCCACGCCAGCCGCCAGGGCCCCTCCCTCATTCATTCATTCCTCCCTTCATTTCTGCCCCACGCTCCCTCTCAGTATGGCACCCCTCTTACAGCCCTTTCTCCAGTGGGGAGACCGAGGCTGCGAGGGTGGCCCTGACTTTTGATGGGTTTAGCAGGTACTTTTTTTAAATGCCTCGTAGGGGTGGGGTGCGGGGGCAGGAGGTCGTGGGGTCTAGGCCTGACCTGGGCTTTGGGGGGCTGGGAGAGGGGCCAAGACCAGAGAGGGCCAGGGCCCGCCCCGGGTGGCACAGCATTATGGCGGGCAAGGCTGGCTTTGGGGCCACTGCCCCCACTGGGCTGTTGAGGCAGGCCTGGGCAGGTGGGCGCTCCCTGTGTGCGCCCCCCACCCGTGGTGATGCCTCTGCTCGGCTCCTGCAAAAAGCACAGCCTGGCTCCAGGGCTCTGTCCCTGTGTCTCTCCCCCCTCCCTTCTCTGCGGAGGCAGGGGTGCCTCAGCGAGCGCCAGGGCCAGGCGCCTTGTAAATCACGAAGCTGGGATTCTGGCGAGTCAGCGTTCTCTCCCTCTCCCTCTCTCTCCTTCTCTCTCTCTCTCTGTCTCCCTCCCTCTCTCTCTCCTCCTCCCTCTCCCTGTCTCCCCCCCCCCCCCCCTCTGTCTCTGTCTCTCTCTCCTCCCTGTCTCACGCCAAATGGATGGGAAACACTCACCCCGGCCGGGGTCCCCCTGCCCCACGCAGCCCTCACACACGAATGCCCATGTCCACACCAACCCGCACACGCGTGTGCTGCCTGCTCCCGTCGGGGCATGTGGACCTGCGGTGCCCCGTGCAGGGGTGAGGGGGCTCCCCGGGGACTGAACCACACCCACGCACATGCACACACACACGTGTGTGTTCACTGCCACCTCACCCACGAAGACACAGCCCTGCCCCGCCTCCGATGGGCCCTAATGGGGGTCCCGGAGGCAGAGACCGAGGCAGGGCGCCTCAGATCTGCATGCAGGTCTTGCTCAGGAGGCTCAGAACTGAGTTCTTGGCTTCCCGGCTGCGTGATGCCGGGCAGGGCACCTAACTCCTCCGTGCCTCCTTGTCCTCACTGTGAAATGCAGTCAACGGCACATCTTCCGCTGCTCGCGCCACCCGAGGATTCGGGGAGGCAGGACCCCCGTGAGGTGCTCAGTGCAGGGCCTGGCACACAGTAGGCGCTTACAGATATCTGTTGCACAAAGGAATGAGTGGACGGTTCTGCCAGCCGAGAGAAGGAACTCTCTGAGCCTCCCTCTCTGCCCACGTGAACTGTGGAGTACAGTCATTCCTTCCTCCGAGGCTTCACCCTCAGCACAGTGCCTGGTATACAGTGGGTGCCAAATAAATGTGGCTGTGATTATGGTGGTCGCTAAACTAATAATTGGGTTAAATGTCTTGGAGGCATTTCCAGCGTACCCTCCCCTTCATGCTGTCACTGTCTGCCCAGCAGGAGCCAGGCCCTGGGCTGGGTGATGGGAACAGCTGTGAGCCCTAAGGATTTGTCCAGGGTCTTCCTGAGTCTGGCCAAACCTGTGGGGGTGCCAGCATCCTCTGTCGCGTGGGGTGCTTGGATGGGTGTCACGTAGGCAGAGGATGGGATTGCTCCCCCAGGGATCTGGGTGCTGGGGGCACAGCAGTGAACAAGAAGGACCAAATCCCTGTCCTGGAGGGGCCGCAGTCCAGGGGCCGGGCCAGGCCAGGCTGCCGCTTTGGCTAAGAAGGAGGTGGCCCGTGACCTGGGACCGAGCAGGGGAAGGGAGTCACACGAGATTCTGAGAGAGCAGGTGGGGTACAGGATGGGCATCTCTGGGGAGTCCCAGCGACAGGGCCAGACCATGTGCTTGAAGGGCCCAGGAGCAGGGCTGAGGAGTCCGGAGGTCCACGGTCACAGGGATGCAGGTTCAAGCCCCAGCTTGGCTCCTTCCTGGCTGCATGACTTTGGGTGGGTGGCTTCGGTGCTCAGTGCCTCAGTCTCCCCCTCCAGAAACCAGGCGTGAGGATAGTCCCTATTTTGCAGAGTTGATAGCTCAGTAAATGCTCAGCCTCTGGAAGGTAGGACCCCGCGCCCTGTCTCTCTAATAACTCTCTCTCCCACACCCTGGCCCTCTGGCTCAGCCCCGTCATCCTCCTGGGACACAAAGGCACAGAGAAGGAAGGCAGGAGATCCAGGGTTCAGACTCCCCGGTCGCTTTGATGGGAAGTTTTCACTCCCACTGCTCTGTGTACCCAGATTCCTCTCAGGGGCCCACAAGACCCTGCACAACCAGCCCCCAGCACCTCCCTGCCCTGCCCCGCTCCACTCGCCTTCTCATCCACTCTGTTTCAGCCACATCACCCTCTTCACTGTTCTCGCAAAACATGAGGCACGGTGCTGCCTCAGGGCCTTGGCACATGCTGTTTTTACTCTCTGGAAAGCTCCTACCCTGGCCCATCATTTTTTAGGCCTTTGTTCAAGTGTTCTCTCCTATGAAAGACCCTCCCTGACCACTACCAGCTAAAAAACAACCCTAAGGCATTCCCTGGCCCTCCCCAAACTCCTTTAAATTTCTTCAGAGCGCTTTATTCAAACTGACATTTTATTGCATATCTGTCGGCTTGTTTCACATCCATCCCTGCCCCAGATCAGGATCCAGGTGAGGACTGAGCCCGGGTCACTGCTGGGCCCACAGCACCGTGCACGGAGCTGGCACACAGTAGGCACTCAATAAATGTTTGTCGAACAAGCAAATGCATCTCGCCCTCATTATGTGGGAGTTATGCCTAAGCTGTGATGCTCTGAGCTTGAGGGGAGGAATTACCTCAGGTTAGGGACACTGACTGGTGCCAGATGGACCTGGGTTTGAATATGGGCTCCGCTATTTGCCACTTAACCTGGCCTTAACCTAGAGGAAAAGACGTTGGAACCAGGGCTTTGAAGGGCACATAAGAGTTTGTGATACGAATTTAGGAGGTGGTAAGATAGTTCTCAGTACCGTTTGGTGAGTCACTGAGTAAATGAGGGAGAGAGAATCCTTCCTGGAAAACTTGTGGTTGTGAATAGGAGCTTTATGGTCCAGCCCATCCAGCAAGGGCTTGGACCCAGGTGTCTACCTCCCAGCTGCTGCTGCCCTTTTTGGCCAGGAAGTCCCAGTGAGCCAAGTGGCATTTCTGGGAACGGCCTGGCCTCGGTCCCCCTCCCCCCAGCATTGCCTCTCTGGTTACCAGGAACTGACAAAAACCCCCAACACCCCACAGCTGCCGTATCCCGTTCTGCCCGTTGTACAGAATGAGAAACTGAGACCCAAAGCAGAGCAGTGATTTGTTCTGGGGTCAGACAGAGGGTGAAAATGGAGGCCCTTGTCATCCAACCTCATTCCCTTGCAGAGTCTGCTTGGCAAATGGGTGCTTTAGCCCTGGGCCTCAGATTTGGGGGGGGTAGCAATGGAGCCGGACTCCGAACCCCAGCTTGTGTGGTCCAGGCTAGGTCTGGGGGGATCCCTGAGGAGAGCAGGAAAGGCTGCCTGAGGGAGAAGGAACACTGGAGACAGGGCTTTGAGGGATGTGTAGGAGTTTGGGAGGATTCTCGGGATCTGGCTTGCCTTGACTGTCTCCTTTGCCTGGTCAGCCAGTGAGGGCATTGGGAGGTGCCCTGGGGAAGATGTCTTGGTTGTGGCAGGTCTCGTGGGACAAAGAGAGTGACAGACCTGCCTCTCACCTGGGCTGACCTCCCAGGGAGGACAAGGGAGGATAGGGCAGCAGGTCCATGACCCAGTTACAAACTGTTTGTCTTCCTTCCTCCCGGACCAGCTGGGGTCACTGGTGACGTGGGCTCCCGCCCCTGCCCGCCTCCCTGGCACCTTTCCTGAGAGTGGGCCCGGAGGGAGTAGGGCACAGAGAAGGGGCGGGGCCCAGGGCCAGGGGAGGGGTTCAGAGAGAAAAGGGTTCAAGGAGAGGAGTCTGGGGACCTGTCAGTCGGCCCCTGCTGGCTGACCATCCAGCTGCCCCTTCCCAGCTACCTCTTATCGCTGCCCCAGTAAAGCAGCAGAACTTGGGTGGCAGCCATGGCCCAGCGTCAACACCATTGCCTTGGCCTCCTGCCACCTTGGCGTCCCCTCCACGGGGGGCAGCGACCTGTGCCTCTCTCGCTTCCCCACCCCCAGCCCCTCCGGCCAGGCAGCCCCGGCTCTGGTCCCAGCTCTGCTGACCGGCCGTGTGACCCTGGCTGAGTCACTCCCCTTCTCTGGGGCTGGCCTGTCAGGTGGCATTCAGGCACAGGAAAGCCCCGTGGAGGTTGGACAGGGACGGGCCACAGATGGGCCCCCCTCCATTCTCCCTCGGCCTCAGCAGGCCAGCCGGGGTTGGGGGAGTGGGCAGCGGAAGAGAGCCCTGAGGTCCAGTGCCTGCCACAGCTGTTGCGGTGACTCACACTTTGGGGGACATTGGAGTGGGGAGCTGGTCTGCCATACGCTGAGCCCCATCCCGCCCCACCCTGGTGAGGGCGGGAGGCTATTTTCAGAGCCTCAGTAATAGGTGAAATCTGAGGTCGTTCCCCTCCCCCACCCCGGCACCCCCCACCCCCTCACCGCCCCCCCTCCTCCCCGGCCAGAGGTGCACAGAGCCCTGAGAGCATACGGGGCGGGGGTCCCTGTGAGTGTCCAGGCCTGGAGGTGGGACGGAGCTCAGCCCCATCCAGCCAGAAGGCAGACTGATAGCCCAGAACGGCTGTTTCCCCCGAGACCCCAGGCTGTTCTGAGGAAGTGGCCGATGGCCTTCACAGGCCTCGGGGGCCTGGGCTCGGGGCCTCACACAGGCCCTGAGACCCCGTGGGACCCCCAGGTCGGGTCTCCGCCCCTGTCTGGGCCTTGGATCCCATCAAGCAGTGGGTCGCGGAGCCCTGGGCCTTCCCCTGCGTCCTGGGAGATTGTAAGCAACCGGAATAATTGTAACAATGTCAACAATAACACTAAGAGTCTAGGGCAGCCTTTCCAGAGCTGGGCAGGGAACGGGGCTCATATCCTGTGAAGAGCTAGCACTCCTGTTCTGGAAGCCCGCACGGCCCCGGCAAGAGCGGAGACGTGGGGCCCAAGGTTCTCTTTGTCTTCGTTTCTCCTGGAGGGTGAGAAACCAGGTCCCAGATGTTCTGCAGAGCTGGTTCCCCGTGATGAGAAGCGGAGAGATGAGACAGCCCTCCCACCCCCGTAGGAGGGGGCAGGGGTCTCCCATGGCGCCGTGTTGCTCTCGGGGGGGCCCGGCCACGGCTGCTGCTGTTCTCATGGGGACAGTGCTATGTCCTTCATGACTCGGTCTCCTCCTCTTGGGGCCTCAGTTTCCTTATCTGTAAAATGGGTGTTGTGGCCTCCCAGCAACACCAGTTAGGCATGGATGGGGGGCGCGGGGGTTGAAGTCACAGGTCTGGCCAGGCCTCAGAGCCTCCCCAGGCCTCAGATTTTCCGTCTGAATGGGTATGTCGGGGGGGCAGCCCCAGGGGCCCCTCTCCCCAGCTCTGAACCCCCCAAGGCCAGCTCCCCTTCTCTCGTGTATTCTGATCTCTTGCCTTCTTGGGCCTCAGCTTCCTCAGCCCCTACAGTGGGTCTGCGCAGGAGCCTCTCCTTCCAGCAGCCTCTGACATCTAGGCTGCCCTAGTCCTGGCCCATGGACCTCTGCGGGGCCTTTCTGCACAGCTGGTCTATGGGAATGACCCCCTAGACCTCATTTTTTTAATTTGTGCCAAGGGCCAGTAGAGGCAGCCCTCAGACTGCTCCCCCCACAATCCGGTGTCAGCTTTCTTTGCTGATAGGGACACTCTCAGAGCCTGGTTTCTCCTGCAGCCATCCAGCAGCCTCTGTATGCTTGGCCCTGCTCTAGACATTGGAGTTCATACTTTATTTTTATTTTACTTTATTTATTTATTGGTCAGAGAGAGAGTAAGCGTGCACAAGCAGGGGGAGGGGCAGAGGGAGAAGCAGGCTCCCCGCTGAGCAGGGAGCCCAACGCAGGGCTCGATCCCAGGACCCTGGGATCATGACCTGAGCCGAAGGCAGACGCTTAATCGCCGGAGCCACCCAGGCGCCCCTGGAGCTCATACTTTAGTGCAGGAGTTTGCTAACTACAGGCCTGGGGCCCAGTGCCTGCCACCTGTTTTTGTAAATAAAGTTTTATCAGAACGCAGCCATGTCCATCATCTGTGTGTCATGTCTAGGGCTAGTTTGGCGATACGGCACTGAGTTGAGTAGATGCAATGGAATGGAATACTCATCGTCTTCTTTAAGAGGCTTTCAGACTGGGGTTTGCTGCTCCCCCCCCCCGTCCTAGTAGACAGCAAATAGGGCCATAACATCCCCGTTCTCCTGACCTCACTTTTCCCCGTCTGTACAATGGGCTAGCCCCCATCAAGCACCTGGGCACCCTCAGCTTGGCCTGTCTGTACATTGGAGTTCAAGACAGCCCTCCGTGAACCTCTGCCTTGGCCTGCGCCTCCCACGTAGTCCAAGCCCCAGGTTCCCCACTTTCCCCACTCGGGCAAGGAGTTCACGCCTCTCCCCCATACGCTTCGGTGTCCCCTCTGGCCTCGAGTTTTCCCTAGGAGGTGAGCAGGTCTGCAGTGCACCCCCTGCCCACAGGCGCCTGGCCCTCCCTGGGGGTCTTCCTGGGGCCCCCAGGCCTCAGTCTCCCGGGCTGGGCAGTGGGCCCACGGTCCCCAGCACCCCCTGACCTCTGGCCTCTCGCGCCTGCAGGATGAGTTCCACCCGTTCATCGAGGCGCTGCTGCCCCACGTGCGCGCCTTCGCCTACACCTGGTTCAACCTGCAGGCGCGGAAGCGCAAGTACTTCAAGAAGCACGAGAAGCGCATGTCGAAGGACGAGGAGCGCGCCGTGAAGGACGAGCTGCTGGGCGAGAAGGCCGAGGTGAAGCAGAAGTGGGCGTCCCGGCTGCTGGCCAAGCTGCGCAAAGACATCCGGCCCGAGTGCCGCGAGGACTTCGTGCTGGCCATCACCGGCAAGAAGGCGCCGGGCTGCGTGCTCTCCAACCCCGACCAAAAGGGCAAGATGCGCCGCATCGACTGCCTGCGCCAGGCCGACAAGGTGTGGCGGCTGGACCTGGTCATGGTCATCCTCTTCAAGGGCATCCCGCTGGAGAGCACCGACGGCGAGCGCCTGGTCAAGGCGGCGCAATGCGGTCACCCGGTGCTCTGCGTGCAGCCGCATCACATCGGCGTGGCGGTCAAGGAGCTCGACCTCTACCTGGCCTACTTCGTGCGCGAGCGAGGTGAGGCGGGCGGGCGCGCGCGCCCAGGGTCTCGGGGTTGGGGGGGGAGATGTGCGCGCGGGGGGGGGGGCCGTGGCGCGGGGGAGGCGGCCCACTCGCGCGTCCCGCTGGGGTGGTGGTTCAGGTGGGGACCGAGACGGGAGGCGGGTGCAGTGGGCGGGGCTGAGGGGGCCCGCCGGCCTGCGCTGGAGCGGGACCGGCACCGGTGCTGTGAAGGTCTAAGGGGAAGAGGTACGGTTCAAGGAGAGTCTGAACGGGGAGGCGGTGCGTCCAGGGGGTTGAAGGTGAGAGGCAGGCCCTTGAGATCTCCGGAGATGAGACCCTGTCCCAGGAGGCCCGAGGGGCAACATAAGGCCTTGTTGGGAATTAGGGGTGAGGACAGGACAGGGACCAATGGCAGAGAGAGTCATATCCCCCCCAGGAAAAGCTGAAAGAACCCTGGAGTTGGGTGCTGTGAATGCTAGTTGATCAACTCTCAGACCTTCAGCAGAGGCCTGACAGGTCCCACCTTTGTGCTGAGTGGGAAGCTGGGTGCTGTGTGACTTTGGCTAGGTTACCACCCTCTCTGGTCCCCTGTGTCCCTGGCTCTGGCTGTTCTAGCTGGGTGTTTGCTGGCTCCATGGTCAGTGCCCCACATGGAGGCCAGCAGGGTCTGTGAGGGTGGGGAAACCCATGGCAGCCTCCTGGAGAAAGTGGTGCGGCAGAGCTGAGCTCTACGGGGTGGCTGGACAGTGCTGAGCGTGGGGTGTCCCAGAGGGTCGGCAGCCTGCGCAAAGATGTAGAGGCAGATGTGTGGCCCAGCCTCTGGATGTCAGCAGGGCTGGTGGCCCAGGGCCGGGCCTGGCTGGGAGGGCGGTGGGCCCTGCTGCTTCCTGGCTGTGTGTCCACCTTGGGCCTCCGTTTCCCCCGTCTGTCAGATGGAGGTTATCAGAGTCCCTAGCTGGATGAGGCCCCCGGGGGAGTCGCCAGATCATGCATGTAGCATGTGAACGCTGGTCTGCCACGTGGCAGGTGTCAGCTGGGAATGTCTTAGTGTGGACAGAGTCAGGTGTGCTCATAGAACCCAATGGTCACATGCCGCATACCCCACCAGCACCACCCCCCACCGGGCTGAGTCTGGTGCACATGTGGGTACATACCTGGGGGCTGCATGAGTGTGTCCAGTGGGTACACCCAGGTTGCAAGCCCAGCCCCGGCAGATCCCACAGGTGCACACTACCAGAAACAGACGGAAGGAAGGCTGTGGGAGGGGCGGTGGGGGGGTGTCTAGCGGCGACAGACTCAGGGCTCACTGCCCAGAGGCCACGCGTAGCCCTGCCCTTTGCAGCCTGTGTGACTTTGGACACATCACGGTTCTGTTTCCTCTGTGAATGGGCATAACCGCCGCACTTCTCCTAGTGATGGGGTAAGGATTAGATGAGGTTGTAGGGCTCCCAGTCTCCAGGGTGTGTGGGAGGGAGAGGTGGGCCGGTTTCCCAGTCTTGACCTTGGTTCCTTGACCTTGACCCTCTTCTGCCCCCACCCCCACCCATGAGTCACAAACCCACTGGGGCTGGCAGCAGAGCAGCCTTAGGGACCGAGGAGGCAGAGGGGTGGACAAGGTGACTGGCTGTCCCGGGCAGGGGGCAGGGGTGGCCTTGGGGGCTGCAGACGCATTACCATGCTGGTCCAGGCCTCTCCCACCACTTCCATCTTCTGAGCCTGGCCCTGCCCCCACCTCCTCCGCGCTGAGCTGATAAAATTTTGAAGCGAGTTTTCTGCCGGTGTCAGCACAATCTCCAGGCGCCTCCCCTCCCCCAGCCGGCCCCCTCCCCCCTCGGCTCAGCAGGCAGGCTGGGCCTCCAGGCTTCCCCAGACACCTTTGTGTCCCACTGCCATGCCTTTGCCAGCCAGCCTGATCGGCCTCCTCGCTCGCAGGCTGGGGAAGGTCAAAGCCGTGCCCGCCCCTGCTTTCAGCGGGCTCCATCATCCCCACGGGGAACCCCTGCTCAAACTGGCCCCGGCCGACCCAGCCGCAGCTGGGCTGGGCGTGAGGGGAGGGCCGATTCCAAGCCGACTCAGCTGCTGGCCAGCTGGGTGATCCGAGACAAGTCGCTGCACCTCTCTGTGCTTTCTTTCCTTGCCTTTAAAATGGGAAGCTCAAATGAGCTGCCTGGTTGGGTCCCCGTGGTGAGTGCTCAACAGACAACCCTCACGGGGGCACGAGGAAACACCAGGCTTGGGGCGAGGGCTCCTCGGGCCCCTGTTCTTACCCCCCTCTCCCCCCCCACCCCTGCTATCATCCTGATCACGGTTACCATTTGCCAATTCCATGCCTGTGCCTTGTTGCTCCCCATGCCAGGCAGGCCTTTCCCGTGTGGAAGACTCCTGCGTATGCTTCAGAACCCTAACTCCTGACTCCACTTTCTCTCTGCTGGGCATTTTTTCTTTCCCATTCTGTCCACAGCCCAGCAAGGCAGGAATCACTGTTGTACTCATGTCATAGGTGAGGAACCAGGGCCGGCGAAGGAAACAGGGCCTGACTGCCCAAGGTCCCAGAGCCAAGGGAGGGCAGAGGGGGGGATGTGGGTGCAGGCAGCTGCTGTTGACGACAGCCCCCAGCCCTCCACCCTGGATGGTGGTGGAAGAGGGGGGAGGTGAATCGTGGGGTACAAAGTGGGCAGCCCGGCAGCCTTGTTGGCACCTCGGGGCTGGGGCTGTGTTCTAGGCTCCCGTGGGCTGGGTTTGCCCTCCAGGACCCCCAGCCTCATTCTGGGTCCCAGTGAAATCTCTGTTCTTGGTCAGGCAGGTGTCAGTCCGACAGCGGAGAGAGCTGGCCGCCCGCCACCCTCCTCCTTCTGTCTGTGGGTCCCAGGGCTGGAGGGGGTCGCGGCCTGGGCCGCAGCGCAGCACCCCCTTCAACCAGCGCTGCTGGGATTTGATGAGGAGGCTGGGGACGGAGCTCTAGGGATGTGCATGCAGGGTGGATGTTGGGGTGGGGCGCCCCCTCCAGCTGCAAGGCTAGCACCTCCGATGTCAGATGGGGAGACAGCTGGTGCATCAGATACGGCTCCTCAGAACAGACAGACAGCCGGAGACAGACGTGCATGGAAGCACCACACTCAGCCCTGCCCCGTCCTAGGACAGGCCTGGCAGCCCCTGGGGGAGCCGTCTCTCCTGGGGGTCAGGTGGACGGACAGGGGTGCTCCCAGCCCTCCATCCTCAGGTTTCTTTGGAGGGCTGGAGGAATGGGGATGAGATCTGAGAAGGCCCTTTCACCCCTGGGGCTGCCAGGCCGGTCAGAGCCTGGGGCGCCTCCTGGGGCTGACTTTGGCTGCCTCAGGCATCCATCTGGAGCCCTTAGGGCCCTGATTCCAGGGGCTGGCCTCAGTGTGTGCCCTGGGGGCAGCCTAGGGGCCAGCTGGAGGGGGGGGACCATGATGAGGGGATGATGTGAGCTCTGCTTTGGGGCACAGGGGGCTGCCTGCTAAATGGGTGCAGTGGGTGGGGTGCAACTGAGTGGGGGTCCCAGAAACCCGACAATTCACAGTTCAGTGAATAAGAACAACGGCAGGAAAACAAAGCAGGGGCAGGGTGTGGAGAGGGGTGGGGAGGGGGGCGCCCCAGACTGAGAAGAGTGAGGAGGGAGGGAGGCCCCAAGGAGGTGGCTCTTGGGATGAGGCCTGAAGGAAGTGAGGGAGCCACAGAGGGATTTGCGTGAGTGCGGCAGGCATGGGGGCACAGCCAGTGCAAAGGCCCAGGGGCCGGCATGGCCCAGAGCCTGAGGAGCAGAGCAGGAAGGCCTCTGGGGACCTTCAGAGGGGGAGGCGAGGCCTGCCGCGTGGCTTCCCGGTGAGGGTGATGGGGAGGCCAGGAGCGGGCAAGCCCGGCCCTCCTCCACCTGCCTTGCATTTGGGAGGGAGCCTGGGAGAACCAGGGCCCAGAGAGGGAAGCCGCTGGCCCAGCCCTGAAGCCCAGCCAGGCCTCCCCACCCCCTCCGGCGGCCTGAGAAACCTGAGGCGCGGGCGGGCGCGGTGCCAGGGCTGGGCGGGGGAGGGGCTGCCAGGCCCGCCCGCTCCAGCAGCTGCCAGCCCGCCCCGAGCCGCCAGCCCAGATGGTGCCCATCTGCTGACGCTGCCGCGGGCCAGCCTCCCGTTCCCGCCTTGTGCGGTGCCAACCTCCCAGAATGGCGCTGTGGGCAGGGGCCGGCTTGGGAAGCTTGCAGCTGCTGGAGGGGCTCCCCAGGGTGCCCCAGGGAGGGTCCCCGAGCCCTGCTGGATGGAAGCGGGAAGCAAGCAATAGCAACATCAGCAGCAGCAAACACATATTGCGTGTGCCAGACACTGCGAGCCTGGTTCTGAGCTCATCCCACATTTTAGCTCATTTAATTCTCTCCGCCATCCTGCGAGAGACAGACTGTTACCTTCTCCCATGCACGAGGTAAGGAAACAGGCCCAGAGACCGTCAGCCACTTGCCCAAAGTCACATAGCCCCTGAGAGGCAGAGCAGAATTAGAACCCACAGGATCCTGAGTCCTCCAAACCCTGAAAGGAAAAAAAAAACCTGAAAAACACTTTGGAGGTTACCAGGTGACATCCGCACCCTCCCAGTTGTGCTGCCGATTACAAAAAAAAAAAAAAAAAAAAAAAGTTGGTGCTGAATACACAGTGAATAAATGAATGAATAGCGGTGAACTGTGTTGAAGAGCCCACCGTGACTAAGCCTGGGGGCCAGGGTCACCATCAAGCGCACCCTGGGTCCGGACGGCAGTTTGTGTCCATGCTTGCTCCAGGCCATGTGAGACGCATTCTCGCCCCCAGCCTTGGTTTTCCCATCTATAAATGGGGAGCATGAGAACTGCGTCCACCGCACTGAGGACCAGAGGCAGTGATCCTCAAAAAGCATACAGGAAGCACTAAATAAATGCTCGGTCCCTTCCCGGATCCTCTTCCCCAGCCCCAGGAGACAGTCAGTGGGGGGGGGGGGGGACCTCAGTTCTGCTCTGAGACCCTAGGCTTCAT